TATATATATATATAGACTGTAATGAAGTAACGAGAAGAAGTCTTTCAAATCAATTCATCTTCTTGTTCATTTTCTCTGATATTAACAATTGCCTTGTCGACCCTCAGTTTATTAGTCGTGCCTAATCAAGTAACCTAAAGCATGATGCTAGATTGCAAGCTAATTGATGCTTTGTTATTCTCCACCATTTCGCTTATGTGGAAATCAAGGAATTCTAAAGTGTTACCGGGCAGCCTCACCATCCCTAATACTTAAGGAACTAAAGGCAACTTCTTTTGTTTGGAATAAACATCGAGCCAAAAAACTTAATTTAGATTGGTCATAATGGTCTTTTATAGCTTCTGGCTATCCCCGTTTGAGTAAGAAATATCTTCTTAATGTCAAAAGAAAAAAAAAGAATTGGTTCTTATAGTGTTCTTCTCCATTTTATGCTTCTCAATGTAATTAGTTCTCACACTCTTTGATATTTGATCTAAAATAATTGTCATTATAAAATCTAAAAAAAACAGAGAACCAGCATTATGTTAATTTGATTGGTCTTAATCAGTTATGACCGGTATTTGGGAATATTATATCAATTTTAATTTACTTTGTACAAGCTATCGAATCTTTAATTTGTCCAATACATGCACACTTAAAGTGAAGATGAAGACATACATTAAAGAGAATCAAAGAAAGGGTTGAAGATGCATGATACAACATGCATAGCAATTATTCCACGAACAACAAATATTCACGACAAAAGAAATTACATTTTGATCCACACAAAGTAGTTGATCGTGTTGAATGAAAAGCAAAGAAGTGGGGAGTTTCTGGGGAATCCACCTATCCTAGCTAGGGCCTTCTACCTGTTCATTTTGGAGCAATTTGAACCCTTTCACAAAAGTATGAGGAATATATGCTCAACATTAGGCCTTGTATTGCATATGTACACATTCAACCTTTTATTTATTTACCACCTGCACAGACAGTTATATCCGTAAGTGTCACTTTTATAATGTTAACTGAGATAATTATGTGTTTGTACGTTTTATTCGCATGATATAATAAACAATAATATAACCCTCAAACATAAGAACACAAGAAAATGGTATATAAGAATGAGACAATCCAGTGAAAGTAAAATATGTCGATAGCTACCGGGTAAAATCTATGCAACAAAGTAACAACATGATTATATTTTTGTATTGTAATAATATGTTAATTTAAACAAACTATATATCAATCATATATTTTTATACTAGTCTTCTCAATTACGTGTAAAGCTAGGTCTATATGATTTCAGTTAGCATACAAAACATAAAGCACAATAACAGTTAAGATGCCTAATATTATGTCTTTACGTTGTTCAGTATGTTACTTATTTATTTAAAATGACTATAGATAGCTAAAAATTAAATAAAAACAACAAAATCGATGTGACAAAAGAATATAACCATGTGATTTGGTAGGGTTTTTCTTTTTAATTTAAAGAAAGGATAATGATCTAGAAAGTTGTAGACAATAAATTGAAAGTAGTTGAATTCTGACTAATAATAGCTTGTAATTTTTAGTAATTATTACTATATTATAGGTTTGGTTGCATAAACAATTCAAAGTAGTTAAATGTGGATTATTTAAATAACGTGATATTAATTATTGTCATTTAATTTCTTTATTTTAATATATAGACACGACTTATACAATATACAAAAATAAGTTTAATCAATTGAGAAAAAAGATAACAGAACTTAAATGAAAAAACCTAAACTCCCATAAACATTGTGTAACTATCTCCTGAATAACTAACTATTTAATTAATCTAATTATCACTGATTATAATAAATAAATACATTATTTTTGTATATATAAGTTTTCTATAATTTTTTTAGATGTTGTATAAAGAAAATAAAGAAACATACCCTTTTTGTTACAAATCTTGCTTAACGAAGATAAGAAAATAATGAGCAATATAACCCCAGTTATGACTCCAATGGTGATTGCCAGTGTTTTATCCACATCTTCATCATCTGCATGCATGCAATTATAATTTTATTATATTTTAATAATAATAATTAACACCATGCAATAGCACCACCGCCGCCATGTCGCCGACAACGGTGGTAAACATAGTGGAGCAACAACTTACCGGTACTAGAGTGGTGTTGATCACGGTCGACATACCGGATATAACATTTTCCAAGAAACATATCACCCCAAGTTGAAGTCTCGCACTCTGACCTCAATCGTCCACTTGCTTCCACAAGACAATCTTGACACTGACTTACACTTAAATCCTGTACGCACTGTGCCACACCTTGTACGCTTCCCGACCCACCCCCACGAAAGTATTGTCCATTCGCCGCCGTTAGAGACGCCAGAGCAGCATCTCGACGGTTCAAAACATCTGAATTATAACCAATTGAAGGGCCACATCGTTTTGACACCTCTGTCTTGTCGTCAACTCCGAAGAATGATATGTTATCGTATTTCACAAAGCATCCTTCAATCTGTATGATTCCACCAGTCGCCTGAGGACAGATTGTCTTGAGTTGACTCACGGCGCTGGCCACACAATCTTTGCAGATGGAGTTGCTGAGGTCACCTTCGCACTGGAAGAGACCATAAACGACGTTGGTTTGTGTGGATCCTGAAGTGGAGATTTTGAAGTTGGAGACGGAGGCTGAGTTGACTAAGGAAGTGAACAGTGAGTTGACATTCGATTCGTATGGAGTACCAGGGCTGAAACGAAGTTGTGAGCATCCACCATAGATGAGGGAATTCGTCGCGGATACAGATAGGATGAAGAACTTGAGAGAAAGTAAGGAGAATAAAAGAAAGAGAGGTACTTGATGCATTTTTAGAGGGTAGAATTTCTTACTTCTTAGTGGAGAGAAAAAGAGTTGTCACATAAGAATAATATATACCTGTAGCCGTAGCTACAAGTCTATAATTGCTTGAAATGTTTTATCAATATATATTATAAAATAGAGTAAATTGTACAAATGGTTGCTATGGTTTTAAGTAATTTGCGGTTTTGGTCCATAATTTTTTTTTTAGTTGGATATTCTGTACTTTATATTTTAGTTACATTTCTGGTCCTTGACCGACATAAAACGAATATATCACACTTATTGTATTATTTTGTATATATATTTTTAAAATTTTAATATTTGTTAATTTATGTTATTATTATATAATTAACAAGATACAATCACCACAACTTAAAGCACAAGCAACTCCTTTCCACACTAAATAAGACTACCTAAGTACTAAGGTGTTGTTTGTTTTTTGTAAAAAACATATTCTAACCACTTATTGTTGCGCGACACAGTACACACGAAACACTTTCCATCCCGCAACAGTTTGTTTTATTAAAAGTCTTCAGACTAAAAAACCTATGTGCATGTGCTACGTCATGCAGCACTTGCTTTGCCTCTTTAAACCACTTCTAACCTAAAATCTAAAAAAAACGGGCCCAACATAAAAAAAACCCCGCTTTTTTGTTTCTCCCCATTGAATCCGTCGCACCTACCTTCTCCATTCAACCTTCAATTCGCTACCTTACATCGGCACAACACCGTCATCGGGCAGCCTGACCTTCGTCGTCGCCGCCTTAGCCTTTCTTCTTGTGACAACCCAAAATTTCTATCTTGTAAAGCCAATCAATTCAATTAAAAGTCAGACTTGTTTCTGTCAACTTTTAGCTTTGTATAAGGGTCTGTTTGAGAGTTCTAAGTCTAGTACACTCAAAGATTGTGTGTTAGGAAGTATTAATTTGAGATCATTGAGTTGCAATTGAGCCGGAAACACCTTCACAAGGAGTTCACAGCCGCAAACTAGGGTTCACGGCCGTGAACCCATGTTGGCCGTGAACCCCTCTTCTTATACATGGTGTTCCTTCATTATTTCTTCATTTCTCACATCTTCAAGCCAAGAATTCTCATTTCTCTCTCAAGTATCATCAAGGATATCCTCTTTGATCTTCAAAAGTGTAAGTGATTCTTCCATTCTTACTTGATATCCTTCTTATTCAAATGAAACCCTTTGATTTCATCCATGAATTCAACTCTTTTGGATTTAGATCTTCAAATCACCATCTTTTCACCAAGAACACACACTTGTTCTTGGATCGTGAACACCATCAAGACTTCCATTAAGTAAGTATCCTTTCCATACACTTGTTATCCATTAGAAGCTCTTGAATCCCCATGAAACAAACACCAAAAATGCAAGATCTTCAAGAATTCATGGCCGTGAACCCTTCAGGTGGCCGTGAACCCTTCATAAGATCTTAATATGGCCGTGAACCCTTTAAACCATGGCCGTAAACCCTTCATAGGATCAAGTGTTAGCTGTGAACCCTTCATAAGATCTTGATATGGCCGTGAACCCTTCAAACCATGGCCGTAAACCCTTCATAGGATGAAGTCTTGGCCGTAAACCCTTCATGAGATCAAGCCTAGGGTCGTAAACACTTCATGTGTGGCCGTAAACTCTCCTATGGCCATAAACACTTATAGTGTGGCCGTGAACATCCTTTCATACAATCATATGTGATTGTGACACTTCATTTCAAGTGTTTCCTAGCACCTAAGGTTGTTCCCTTACATGATTAGTTGTTATAAACACTAATTATATACATATATGTGTCATTATATGCTTAATAGGATCCGTTTGTGCTCGAGACTTCACTTGGCATACTTAGCATCCTATATCGATCTTTCATTCGAATCACTCATGTGAGTTCATACCCCTAAACTTATCTTTTAATGATTTTAAATGCTTTTATGGGGGGGGGATACAAGTAGAAAAAAATATAGTTATAGTATCAATCACATGTGATTTATAACTATCAAACAAAAGGATTTATTATACTTCAAAACTGTGTTATCAAACAAACTGTCTCAAATCATTTTATAAACTTCTTTTATATCAAATCATATTCGTCTATCTATTTACGTATAAGTATGCTTTAACAAACTTAGGACTATTGCTAGATACCTTGAATCCTGTTCCTTGTTTGGTTGTGGGCTCGGGGTAGGATCACTAGTCCGAATGTCGGTTAAATCATAGTTATACTTATTAAATACATATGTGGATATTAAACTCATTTTTAAGGATTATACTTAACTTATTTACTTGGTAAGTAATTGAGTCTTTTCTATACATCAGTAACAGTCAAACAATCATACTAGTAAACTATAATAGGT